CATGGCACCCAGCGCTGCCTCCGCCTGGAACTGCTGTTGGACTTCGCCCGCGTGCTCCCTTGCAGACAAATAGTTTTCCCGCTCAGCTCCAGGCTCGCAGAACCCACTATCATAATTCCGCCACTTCTCCTTTTTCTCAAAGACTGAAGGCACCCGCGGTAAGCACACCCCAGGCCCCAGACGCACACCCTTTGCGAAAGACACACTGGAAGAAAAGAAAACTCTGCTGTCAGGATCGCCGGAGATGCGGAGCAGCTCCTCCATCGCCGCTAGGTAAAAGGGCTGCCCCTCTGTTCGCTCCCTCACCGGGAGCTTGGCCCCGGCATATTCCAACGCAGTAAAAAGAAGCTCACGTCCTTCAGCCAACACTTCTGAACTGAACGGGTTGTCTGAGACCTTGCCCAGCGACAGCTTTGCAGCTAAGCTTACTAGGTCCACGTGCCGCACTAGGATCTTCAGGAGCTCCTTGCCAAGACTTTCCGCAAATCCCAGCGACGGCGTGTCCTCGGCGCATCTCCGCCTGCTCGGACACCACCTTCCCAGCGAGCACAAGCCGAAACCATCGCAAAATGGCACCCTTTTCCCAAACATTCTAGCGGTCAGCGGGGGCCCCCTGCCCCAGACTCCATCTCCCAGCTGTGGCTTGACGCGGCCATCTTCGTCCTCATCAGAACTGTCTTCAGCCACTTCAAAGCTACGCGGTTCCCACACGCCTTCACCAGTACGCTCCCAGTGCCAATCTTCAGCCTGAACTGTGTTCTGCACGTCTGTGGTACTGTAGACTTCATGCAAACCAGCAGCTTCTTCACAGTCTTGTCTGCGACGCTTGGCAGTATCTTCCGAGATGGCCAGGCGCGGGGGAACGTCGCCAAACAATTTGTTGTTGATGCTTATTATGTTTTTTAATGCTTATCATTTTTCTTGATGCTTATTTTTTGATACCTCTCCCTCCTTGAGGCTGAGGATACGCGCGACCCATATTGAACAAGGCGGAAAGCCTCTGGCGGGCTGTCAAAAAAAAAGGATCAAAAAGGTAAAGGGTCGTGGCTCAAGGTGCCGGAGGCTCGTATCGTCAGCTGCACGGCTAACAAATAGGTTATTATAGCCCAACTAATGTTATCAAACGGGGCGTTGACAACACGGGATCCGTCGGACGGACGGGAACCTGTGGTCAAGAACGAAAGGAGGTGCACGAAGTGCGGAAGCAAAGCACGAAAGGCCGCAGTACATGTAAGTGCTGTTACATATGAGGGGCCCTTAAAAGTTGACTATAGAAGCCTGTGCTTTCGGAAACATGACGTTGCCTTTCTAGTCAAAACTCGGCTTGCCAACAGCATTCAGAAAATCCTAATATGTGCATTCCGAGCAAAACTATGTAATCAAGCAACTGTGCTCAGAAAACCGTTGCCTAATGTGAGAAAGGGGAAAAGCGAAGGTTCACCAAGCACATGCTATGATGATCACCCGGTGATCATGGCTTCACTGAGAAGACTTCAGAGAATCTGATTGGTTGCCAATGGGGACACAAGAAGGGAGGCAAGTGGAGAGACAAGTGGAGAGAGGCAAGTGGAGAAATCATCTCGTGACAGGATGCAATCTTTGAAAGCCAATAGAACCCCAACAGAGCTGTTGCGGAAAAATAATGTATTTTTAAATGCACAATTAGAAAGAGCAAGTGCTTTAATTCTTTAGCCCCCCATAATCATAGCTTTGGTACCGACTCAGTCAATTGACTTTGTGCCTTGTTGAGAGAAAGGACTGTTAGACACGGAACTGAACCCAAGTATGGCGACGACTACAAGTTCTTGACTCAAGTCTTGCGACGTGTCACTTGGAGCAGTTCAAGTGTTGACTCTCGTCTTGCCTCTTCAGTCACGTCCGTACTGCTTATCCGCCTCGCAGGCCTTTCCAAGCACTTTTGCACGTTCAGTTAAAGACATGAACCCCTGCTGTCATCTTCTCCCTCCGCCCTTCTCTTGCACCTATACGGGCATTCGTTATATAGTTTGCGTTTGGCTTGTCTTTTTCCCTCCTTCGTCGCTTTTCCTTTGCTTGCCTTGCTTCTTCCTCTGGTGCCTTCATGTCCGTTCTCTCTGATGTTGCTCTTCGTACTTCGCTTCTGTTTTCATTTCTTGTTTTTTTCGGTACTTTGTCTCTCTATTCATGGTGCCTCGGGAGCTCTGGCGCCGCCAAGTCTTCCAACCGCACTGCGAAAGTGTAATAACCGCATACCTGACAAAGAGCACAAGCCATCCTCAAGATTCTGGCAGTCACTCCAGCCAGCGGCCTCCTCATGACCTGAAGAATTCTTGGATGCCTAGCATTGGCAGAGATCTTCAGCTCAATTGATCTCCACCAGGATTTGTCAAACTGTTTCGTCGCCAAGCTCAGGGCGTTGACGCAGGACCATCCATAGACGTTAGCCAAGCCTTCAAAGGATAAAACAAAGTTAAAGATGACCAAGTTGCAACAACCAAAATGTTGTTATTCCAAAAAGTATATGCGCCCTTGTTCAAAGCATCTTGACCGTTGCAAGTCGGACCAAATTCATACAAAGGTTGTAACCATCACGCAAATATAGCAGCTTGCTTGCCCCACCTTCCAGTGTGCCAGGTTCGACCGAGAGCTGGCTGATGACGCTACGGTTGCCACTTTTCTCCTGAGCAAAGAAATACAGTTAGCACACTCCTGGACGCTTCATGATATCATCCGACGGGCCATGTACTAGCACCCACCTTTTGCCAAAAGGCTTTAAATTGCTTATAGCTTGTCATGTATGCATGCATCAATAGAGTGGATGTCCCCACCCTCTAACACACCACACGCCCTGCTTGAAGTAAGACACCACGGTTGATGTGATTTAACAAAGGGCGTGGAGAACCCAAACAACCCAAACTAGATAAATTAGGAACTAGACGACGAGTGGCCCGAAAGCATTTTTCATCACGTAGGAAGTCAGAGTGTGAGTTATCTGTTAAGTGTTCAGTGTGAAGTGTTAAGTCGAGTGAGTTGAGGCAGTGTGTGGGTCTCTGTGTGTGTGTGTATCTATGTCTGTGTGTGTATGAGTCTCTGTCTGTGTGTGTGTGTCTCCGAGTAAGTTGAGGCAGTGCGTGGGTCTCTATGTGTGTGTGTCAACCTTTTAAGAGAGCCGGGTGGTCGGGAGACATGACTCAGCTGCAGGGGCGCCAGAGCACCTGCGAGAGATGACTCAGCCGCGAGAGATGACTCATCCGCGTACTAAAGTTGCACTGCAAAGTCACCAGTTCTCAGCTTCCAGCTCCCCAGATACTCCGCGTACTAAAGTTGTACTACAAAGTCGCCAGTTCTCATCTTCCAGCTCCCCAGATACTCCGCGTACTAAAGTTGTACGACAAAGTCGCCAGTTCTCATTTTCCAGCTCTCCAGATACTCCGCGTACTAAAGTTGTACTACAAAGTCGCCAGTTCTCAGGTTCCAGCTCCACAGACTGCTCCACGTACTACAGTTGTACTACAAAGTCACCAGTTCTCATCTGCCAGCTCCCCATATGCTCCGCGTACTAAAGTTGTACTACAACTTCGCCAGTTCTCATCTTCCAGCTCCCCAGATACTCCGCGTACTAAAG